ACCGCTCGTCGCTTTGCCGCTCATTGCGTGGCCTCGGCCTAAGTGTTAGTTAAATTGCTCCAATTTTGAACTAGTTTCAAGTTGGCTTTTTGTAGTTAACTACAAGTTATATATTTTTTATAGAAATCCCGCAAAAATCTAATTGCAAGTGGGTTATTTTTTATTAATTGATAGTTTTTTCTGCAAGGTATTGTCAATTAAAATTAAATATGTAATGAAATTTTACTGCAATACATTATCGCGTTGTTCAGCCGGTAATTAATATTATCAATATTAGGTGGTATTTCCGGGCGCATATGTACAGCTTTGGAATTTGTATTAATGTAATCTTTGAATTGATTTTTTCGCTTTATACTGAACTTATTTGAAGTTTAATTCTCTTTGCTTTGGTTGGCTATTAATATCAAAGATAATAGCAATGATGTCATAACTCAGAAGCTTCCTTCCATAAGTGTGTACCTAGCTCTTCCAGTCATATGTATACAACTGTTTAAAATGGCATTGATATATGCACCAAAACACCACAGCGCCTGTTTTTGGTAAAAATAAATTTGCTAACTCAGATTCCTTAGAGAGAAAAATATTTGCATGGAAATTAGTTAGAGTTTTTTAAATACTCCTTCGCCATCACCAACTTCAAATGAAAAGAAAAGTCTTAAAATCGCCAACCTGGTAAAAGTTATAAATCACTTTTCTATACACAAGCTAGAAAAACTTAGTTTCCTCAATTCCACAAAAACACGAGATTGTTCTATAGTATACCATTTAAGTTTCTAGCTTTAAAAATGCTATTACATAAATGTAAGCTCATTTTACATTCTCTGCTTCCAGCTCTTCTCAAGCATAAGTAACTCATTTCGCAACAACGACGATGAACAACCGCAGAAAGAACTCAATCGCCACCATCGACACCTAAAACAACAGCAACACAATACCGTTTTGTACTCTACCAGTCCAGAAAAAATTAGCAAAATCAACAAAAGCAGAAGTTTCCTAAGCAGCAGCAATAGTAGTCGAAGCATCAGAGGCCAAAATACAAAAAATTATAAACTCAACCAAAGCAACCTCGGCAGTGGCGCAAGCAAAATAATTGCCGACTTGTTTGATAACCAGCCGGCTGTGTTGATTCTGGTCAACATGTCGGACGCAACGGACGGTGCAGTGGAGGGCGTGGGTGCTGACGACGAGACGCTATTCGAGCCCTACGACAACCTCGATGCAATTAATGAGAGCACAGAACTGCAGTGCCTGCTGCAGCAGCACATTGATACAACGACCTACGGCAATGACAGTGCCTACTGCCTCACTCACTTCGACTCGATCCTTTGTTGGCCGCGAACGCCGCGTGGCACTTTGGCGGCATTACCGTGCCTACACGAGTTCCAGGGCATCCAGTATGACAGTTCGCGTAAGTACTAACGCCAAATTAATGGAGGTATTCATCTAAGCGCTTAAGTGCCGCGTGAGTACGTAAACATCGTAAAGTTACTGCATTTTTTAATTGAAAATCGGTTTATTTACGAGGTCTACGCGGTTGCGGAACATTTAAGTGTTGAAATGAAAACCCATAATGCGTTTCTATTAAAGAATACGTATCCATATGTACATTTAAACATACGTACATATATATTTCTCCTTCTGTGGCATCTGAGGCTTTAGCAAATGTAACTTGTCAAAGCGACAACTGAGTCGAAATGCACGCTTTGGGGAACGCATGAATGGATTCTGTTGTACACAAATGAATGCATGGTCTCACATAAATATGTATGTGCATTAGACTGCATCACCAAAATAAGTTGCGGTTTTTCCGCCGGGATTACAAAATTTATTATATTCTAAGACGTTCACCAAAATATTTGGGAAAAATATTAAGATTTAAGTGAGCTGGACCGATTTGAAAACACCTCCAAAAATGAAGTTTTTTATGAATAAAAATAGTTTCGTAAAGAACTTTTTGAAAAAAGTCCCCTCAGATGACAAAACAGATTAAGCTTAAAAAACCTGCATAAAAATATTTAAAAATCTTTTCAANCATTTTTTTACTTTTTTCAAAGTTTGATTTACGAAAAACTTGAATAACTGGGCTAAAACTATTCTGATTGAGACTTATGGGATCTCAGTAGAAAGGTATTTTCACAGTTTTTTCTTAAAAAAAAAAAAAATCATTCGTGTCCCAATTTTTTTTTTTTTTTAAAAAAAAAAAAAATCATTCGTGTCCCAATTTTTTTTTTTTTTTAAAAAAAAAAAAAAATTGGGACACGAATGATTTTTTTTTTTTTTAAGAAAAAACTGTGAAAATACCTTTCTACTGAGATCCCATAAGTCTCAATCAGAATAGTTTTAGCCCAGTTATTCAAGTTTTTCTTATACCAATCTTTGAAAAAAATTAAAAAACAGCATCAAAACACTCATCATTACTATTCCGTTCAAACTTTTTTTTAATTTTTTAAAAATATTTTTATGCAAATTTTTTAAGCTTTAACCGTTTTGTCATTTGAGGGGATTTTTTTCAAAAAAAAATTTTAAGAAACTATTNGGATCTCAGTAGAAAGGTATTTTCACAGTTTTTTTCTGTCAAAAAAAATCATTCGTGTCCCAATTTTTTTTTTTTNAGATCTCAGTAGAAAGGTATTTTCACAGTTTTTTCTTAAAAAAAAAAAAAAAATTATTCGTGTCCCAATTTTTTTTTTTTTTAAATACCAACACATCTTAATTCATTTTTGAATGACGTTCGTTCATCCTAC